TATCCTCCCAGCGGCTATTGGCTAGCCGTCGAACAAAGACGGTCACTGCATTGCGTGCTTTCAGATCCGCTTCTGTGGCTGTCTGGATCGCTCTTCCTTCCAATATTAGGAAGCGACTGGAGCCATGCACTTTTAAATCTAAATGGAAAACTCACTGCTTTGTGTTTAGTTTGTTGCACTTTGCCCGCACCTCCGATTAGTGCGGTTGGCTACATAAGGTGCATGTATGTATGTATGTATGCTGAACTTCTTTCGCACTGTACACAGCCAACCATGCTGATCGAAGGTGCGGGGGAAGGACAAAAAACTAAACACAAACATCAGTTCTAAGAAAAATTGTTTCACTCTACTATAGATTTAAAAGTGCATAGCTCCAGTGGCTTCCTAACATCGGAAGAGTGTTCCAGACGGCTGCACAAGCAAAGATGAAGTTCAAAATACATATTGCACAACATCTTCCAATTTGCTGCAGTCATGCAATTCCCACAGACCCACCACAAGGTGGCGCGATTATACGCACAATAGATCACAAACATAACTACACATTATCCATAAATAAAAAGAGCCTCCTCTGATCGCCCTGCGCGCCACACGTCACACCCCCTAGCGCCGGCCATGAGTAGGAAGGTACACAACTCACTTCTGCGGATGCTCGTGCAACTCTTGATAGAGTATACCTGGGTATGATAAGGTGTACAAGAGCCTGGCAGAGTGTGCTAGCGTGTTCCAGTGTGTCAGCTTCTCGGTGAGAATCTGAATCTTTATCAGAATCTTGATTTATCCTCGAGAAATCTGATGAGCTATGAAGCTTTTGTTCAGTCAGTGAACCCATGGCACCTGGGTCTATTCCGTGACCTCCTGCCAGCGAGGCCGTCTACACTTCACGTGGCCTCAAAGTGCACCTAGCATGGCACCAGCGTCGTGGTGACGTCACCGCCACCTAGTGCCGAACGGCGGTTGCTGTCGGTCCTGCCAGGGTGTGGGTGTGTGCATGGTGCTTGCTCATACCCCCTGGTTGCCAACCCAGAGCAGCTCCTCGTGGACGTCGAAGTGCGAGGTGCTGATGGGCACACCCACTTCCGAGATGATGCTGTGCAGCTCCGAGTAGGCACCCTCCATCAGCGGAAGTCCCTCCTTCACACACACACACACACCGTGCACCACCACCATGCACCTCATGCGATGGTAGACTAAACATTCTGATTGACGAGTGATATAATTCACCTAATCGTGTATCTTACATCAAACTTGAAATATATAAATGTTTTGTCATTTATATTGCAAATGCGGAATTGTATCGCTGGACATAATTTGTAATAATCAATATTCCTTGACAGTGAAACCTCACCTATATGTTGCCTCTCTTTCGTTCTAAAACTTCCCCATTCAGACAACGTTATATGTTCCAGCTAAAAATATTCCCCACCCCCTCCCGACCGCACAAAATGTAGAGGTGGGAGGTGCTTCGATTTACAAAAGCAGAGACAGACATGGAACAGACTTACAAAGAGCAGCAGACACACACGGTGTGGGAAGCGTATGGACAGAGAGGCACAGCATGGAGGTGTGCGGTGAATGGCAAGCAGAGACAAATGGCAAGGAGATGTCTTGACAGAGAAGCAGACACAGCACAGAGGGGTTCGGTATGGAGCGACAGAAGATTTGAAGAGAGATATACAGCACAAGATCAGTGAGATTAAAAATACATAGCAGGGGGATAAATAACATTAAATACATGCTTTTATGGGAAGTGTTCCCCTAGCCAACATTTAACCGGATATATAATTTTGGTTTGCTCTCTTGGAAAACCAATGATGTTTCACTGTAAATCCTAATGTTAGTTTCCAAAAATGTTCAGTCCCCTAGGTTATTTAAACGTTTTCACACCTAAAAATCCACCAATGTACATGAAATACATGGCTCTGTGTTCAATGACACAAATGTAAGTGGTAAAAGGTTTAATTGAAACACTCCGTTCATTATAACATGTATTTTTAACTGTTACATAGAGCAGCGGTTCTCAACCCGAGGTCCGTAGCTCACCGGTCGTTCAGAATCTTTCAGAATTCTGAATCCTTAACGTGGAGGAATCCGATGAGCCATGAGGCTTTTTTTACACACATGTAAGACAGTAAGAAGGAGCCAGCAGAATGATAGCACCTCTCCTTTTTAGGACAAAGCCCTTTTTTCAGGCCCCCACCCCTTCCTCCGGACACCAGGTTGGGCTGGTTCGAGCAGTGGTGGTGGTTGTCAGGGGTGGGAGTGGTGCACACACAAGTGGTAGTCGTGGGAAGGGAAATTATGGGGGTAAGGGTGGCTTGACAATGACCAAAATTCTGCTTTGAGCAATATAAAATCCAAAAGTTATAAACGCATATCAATAGTATCTTGCACATGGTACCCTGGTAACCATGTTGCAGTGTATAATCTTATTGTAGTGACCCATTGTCTACTTTAACAACCCATGAGTGATAATCTATTTGTCCCAAGTAACTTGCGTGTAACGGGAATAGTACATATTAATTAAGCATCGTTATGGAGAATATACGTAACAAATTAAATGAGCAGATAAATCGCCTCCTTATATTTGTCTCTCCACATAAAATCAGTGTAATTTTGAGCACATCCCATTAGCCACACTGCCTTATTGGAGTGCGGTGGTGTTTGGTGATCAACGGGGACTGGGCGGTGGCATACGCCTGTAATCCAGCACTGTGAAGGCGAGAGTTGGTGATCACGCAAATGTTGTCAAACTCCCTTCCTGTGAGGGTCACGTCATGCGCGACTACATGTACCTGAGTGGGGGTCACGTCATGTGACTGCATGTGGTTGAACAGAGGTCACAGTTGTGATTATTTTGGTAGGTGCCACACTGACTCGCCAGGAGAAAGCAGTACAGCAAGTGGACTGCTCTGATTCCATCTGTACAGATAGAGTGCTGCCCCATCATACATGTGGGTTTACTCTGGATGCTCTAGTTTCCTCCCACACATATACACACTCAATACTTGGTTGAAAACATCTGAAAAACCCAATGCAGGGCCCTCACAAAAAGTCCTTTCGCTCGCCTTTTTCTATAGAGATGTAATAATTAATATTATTCAATATTAATGACGCTCACCCCGACAGGCAGGCTGTCGATAGGCATTCCATCTCCATCCATCATTGTAGCACCAAGGCCCACGGGCTCCAGGCCACCGTGCAGGGCTGGGTCCAGGCTGGAGTCCATTCCGGGGTGCAAAGCCCCAGCGTAGTTGCCCAGGCTGCCGTTCAGCGCGTTGTACTCCATGGTTGGTGAAACGCAAGGCACAACAGGGTTCTTCGTCCGTTCAGGTCGCGCCCGTGCTGTTGCCTTCACCGACCAGCGCCCATCACCACTTTATTATCCGTTCAGCACGCGCTCTAGCAAATCCAGAGTGTGGACCACATGACAGCCTGGAAAAAGAGACACTTAGATATGTGGCTGCCCTTCCCAGAGAAGGCATGAATCCAAAACAAGAGTTAATTTACTCAAGTCACTAACAAAAAACACGTAATTTAATACCGGCTGGATAGGAGATTTACGAGGGGGTAGTGAGATCTGACGAGTTATTGACAGAATAGTAGGGGATGGGGGTATGAGTACTGATTGGGGTGAGAATAACTAACAGGGGTGCTGGTACTGATTGGGGAACTACAGTACTAATATCCCCCCACTGTTGTAGTGCCACGGTGGCGAGATGTTAACGACCTCGCCTGGTATACAAGATGTCGTGGTTTCGATCCTGACCCGTGTATATTTGGAGCTTGCACGTTCTCCCTGTGGTAGCGTGGATGTTTTTCTCCGGGTCCTCTGGGTTTCCCCACCACATTAAGAAACACGCGTTTAGAGTATTTGGCTGCGATACATGTCCATGCGATAAGCCACTTCGTTGAGCTTTAATTTGTGGCCAGGTCGTTCCTGAAAGAGAGATACGTAGCTCAGTGGGCCTTACTAGGTAACATACGAGGTTTAGTTGAATACGTATAGTACTTACGAGGAAGATTAGATAACGGAGACTGTAGCACTGACAGGGGAGTCACCAAGTACTCAAGGAGAATGAGTACCAGTGGGGAGTAGCGATGGGAAATTGTTAGTAACGGGGGGTGAAGAAGAATGTGGCTCCTGTCATAGGAATATCGAATTTCCACCATGTACATCGCTTCAGCTCTCACAGCGGAATGGGGCCCCAGTGAGAATCCGCGTGTCCTGCGATTGAGTCCAACACAGGGTAATAATAATTTGTGTGATTAGCTGCGTGACTGAGCGAGGCAATTAAATCGTTACTTAGTCCGGTAGTCAGCTGGTGGTGCCCGACTGATGACTTCACAATCAGAATCTTGTATTTTGAGTGCACGAGGAATCCCATGAGCTATGAAGCTCGTTTTGAAAGGCTTCAAGTATCGGATGGTCAGCGAGTTACAACAGCAAACAATACAATAAACGATAGGAGTGCAACTGAAGAAAATGGTAAGCAAGTCACTAAATATAAATAATTCGATTGTATCAGTCCAATGCATCAAGATTGGGCAAGGCAACGAAAACAACAACAGTAGCAGTTCCCAGACCACACAAAGATAAACACACGCAGTTCCTCAACAGAACGAGTTTGCGATTCAGTTTACATATTAAGCGATCGATTCGATAACTCATTCGGGTGACTATCTGTCTGTAGTAGTTAGCGGCTCGTTACGCGAGCCGCTAACTACTACAGTTAGTTAATAAGCTCGGTTAGTTAATAACTCGGCCAAAGAAGAATAACACTAGGCAGGCCCCGCGTGAAGCCTGCTTTGGCCTGATTCGGCTACCGGGAAACGAACCCCAGAGACGGCGCCGCGCGGGGCTCTCGCGGTGGGGTGGTGGGGGGGGAAGGGGTCGCTTCTGTAACGTGAGGGCTGGTCCGGGGGGGGGGGCGGGGTGGAGCACGCTCACATGAGGGGGTACAAGCGGGCTGGCCACGCTCACGCGGGGCCGATAAATCTCAGAACTGCAGCGCCGAGGAGACGATTCCCAGGCCGCTGTGACGCCTGAACCCGCGGCGCGCGGGGCGGTGCCAGGACAGAGGGATTCTACCTCGCAGCGACGCAGGCTCCTGGCTGCTATCGGGGAGGCGGGTGCCGCGTCGGCGACGACCCCGAAGGGTTCCGAACGCGTTCAAAGTCGAGCCTGAAGCCGGCGCCGTGAGACAATCCCGGCGAGAGACGCGTCCCTCAACGCTGAACCAGTAACACGAGGGAACGCCACGGGGGGGGGGGGGGGGGTCACCCACGAGACCAATGGTATCGTCGAGCGGCTGTCGCGTGACCTCGTGCTCGTGTGGCCAATCAGGAGGCGGCGCGGGCAGGGTTTAAACCGGGACGAAGCACGTGACGATGTAGGAGCACTACAGGGAGGAATAGTACTGTATTTAATGTGATTTAGTGTTTTAAATACTAAATACTATAAAATGTTGTATTTAATACGTAGTTAAATTCAGAGTACAATTAAATGGTAATAAATGTAGTATTTTATGCTAAATATATTACTGTTTTAGTATTTAACTGATTAGCCATTCAGTTTCATCATATGCAACTGAATGACTAATCGTACTCGGGTTGTAAATGTTGTGGATTTTCTCTCCAACACACCGGTATGCTGTACTAGTAACAAATTGGCACGTTCTGTTTATGTGACAAACCTTACTAATAGGCTGCGTCGGGTTGTGACGGGTTTAACGACACATTTATATTTACGCGATCTAACTCATAAAAACCTGTATTATTTTACATTTGTTTACAACTGCTCGCAACCGCTTGCAGAGACGTCCACACATAAGCTATTCAGTTTCATGTAACCGAGTTGGCAACTGATCGATCAGGTATGGACCCGGCTTAAGGATAGTTACAGAGTAAATTCCTCATCTCCATATTTGTCCACGGCTCAGCGTAGATTGGTGGCCATGATGATACTGTTGCTGTTGCGAGCAATGTCCCGTATTGCTGTTGCTGGACCATGCCCCACTGAGCGCAATCGCAGTTGTTTGCGCTGTGCATGAACAAGACTGACAATGAGGAGAACTTAGCAGGGTTGACCACCGTGGAGATGGAGTGATCAGATGCGGTACTATCACGTGAAGGCGTGTGATAGCTTGCGATATCATATAACTGTGGGAGAGAGCGAAGGCACGGTGAAACTTCCATCCTGTAGCGCAGGGGTGGGGAACATCCGGCCCGCGGGGCGTATAAGGCCTGCAAAATCATTTGGTGTGGCCCTGCCAAGGCAACTGCAGGCGGGACTCGAAATTCAATAAATCTAGGAGCAAACCTGGAACAACAGTTGTGAGTAGCAACATCATCAATACCAGCTAACATCACACGCCTCACCAAAGAGAAGCAGTTCCAGCCATCACATTAGGGGTAGGTTAATTAAATGTTTGACCAAATATAACGGGCAGATTTTTAAGTTGATAATTTAGTATGGCCCGCGAATGATGTTATAAATATCCTAATGGCCCTTGGCAGATAAAGGTTCCCCACCCCTGCTGTAGCTGATATCGAGTGGCTGGTGTTGGTGATGTTAGTGGCACGCCCTGTAAATCGCTCTACAGCCCTGCTTGGCAGCTGAATTCAGAACACGCAGCCTGTGGCTCATGGTCTGGTCACAGGAGGAGTGATATTTACCTGCTTTTGTACCGGGGCGCCGCAGTGGTGAGATGTTAACTACTTTGCATGGTATGCAGGAGGTCGTGGGGTTCGATCCCGACCATGACGCCTGCTGCTGTATATTTGTTTGCACATTCTTCCCGTGGTCGTGTGGATTTTCCGCGAGTCCTCAGGATTTTCCCTCTACATTTAGAAACGTGCGCTTAGAGTATAATGATAAACCACTTCGTTGAGCTATCATTTGTGGCCAGGTCGCTTATGGAAAAAAAGCTATATATAGCTCAGTGGGCCTTACCTGGTCAAATAAAAAGTTTAGTTGTGTACAGCGTGTAGAGGTTTCAACGGAAACTCCGCTCCGCGTGCAGTACACGGCGGACAATGAGTGATGCGGCTTTGCTGTTTTTGTTCTCAATGGGTCCTGCAGTTTTTTTCTTCTGTAAGCGTTCTTTGCTCTAAACCCTGGAAATCAGCAGCAGCTTGTTCAGCAAAGCCTTTCACAGAGAGTTGGGGCTGTTTAAACAAATAGTGATGTCAAATATTGATTTGGAAGGCCGCATAATGCAGGTGACTTTTTTATATTACTATGTTTAAATGAAAACAACCTGGCTTCCTGTCTACTCATTATAGATCAGTGGTTGTCAACTTTTTTTGGCTGCTGTACACCCCCTTGTTGAATTTTGTTTCAACTGAGTACCTTCTGTGTCGTTAAACCCGCCACCACCCGACACAGCCAACGAGTAAAGGTTGTCACGTAAACAGAACATGCCAATTCGTCACTCGTACAGCACACCGGTGTGTTAGAGAGCAAGGCAATATACGCCTCATATACTCACAAGCTCACCACTAGGTGTCAGACGAGTACCCTTCAACAACATTACGACGCTTGCAATCGTGGTCCTACGTGTGATGAGAATCCCACTGGTTATTGAGCAAAAAGCTGCGCTGGTGTCATGGTTGTGAAAAACACGGACGGGTGACGCCGACACGACGCGTAGCCGACAAGAGTCGATTTAAAATGAGCTTCGCTGGTTAAACCTCGCAGCAGTGTTTTTTCTTAATTTATTATTCCAGATATAGCCCACCGCTGAGTTATGTAGCTCTTTGTCAGAAGTGACCGTTGTCACAAATGATAGCTTAATGAAGTGGCATATCACGTGGATATTCATAGCAGCCACATACTCTAAACACATGTTTCTAAATGTGGAGGAGAAAATCGGAGGACCCGGAGAAAAAAATACACGCGACAACAGGGAGAGAGACGCGCAAACTCCAAATATACAGCAGGCGTCAGGGTTGAGTTCAAACCCACGACCTGTTCCATACCAGGCGAGGGAGTTTAACACGTAGGCTTTCGCGACCAATATCATCCATAATAGAGGGGTTTTTTTGGGGGGTTAGATCGCGTAAATATATAAATGTGTCATGAAAACCCGCCACCACCCAACACAGCCAACTAGTAAGGGTTGTCACGTAAACAGAACATGCCAATTCGTCACTAGTACAGCACACCGGTGTGTTGAAGAGCCAAGCCACAACATTTACAATCTGAGTACGACATTTCGCCAGTAATTACAACTAGCTTCATCAGGCGACAGCCAGATTTGTGGAGAAGTCCACCTGTTTCGTTCCTTATATAGAGGCGTAGATGTGGTGACTACACTTCTGCGCTCTTGCGCAAAGTAGTGGTGGGGGGGGGGGATTAATGAGTCAAAGCACATTATGCATGTGCATTATGCGAGCCCTTTGATCTTGTCCTTCCTGTCCATTGTGTGTATTAAAATTGCCCGACCAACGGTAATCCCTATTGTTCTGCTACTGCTGACAGTTGTATTTGGGAGTATTTCATATTTTTCCGATGTTCTTTTAGTCTCGTGCTGATCATTCGTCCTGTTTGCCCAACATCGCATTTGCCACAAGTGCAGTTAATCCTGTACACACCGTCTGTTGATAGCTTCGGTAATACATTGTTGTACCTGATATTTATTTTTGTATTTTATGTACCATGCCAAATCTGACTCGGATGTTTTGTTTTTCCAAACATCTGGCTAGTTTATCAGTTGCGCCCGCAATGTATGGCATTTTGATCGTTTTAATTATTTGGGCAGTTTCAATGCTCTTGTTATTTGATTTGGTTTTGGTATTCAATGCCCTGTTGATTTGTGCATCATTGTAACCGTTCATTTGCAGCGCTTCTTTAACATGTTTAATTTTATTTCTCAGACTGTCACCATCTGACATTGTCTTAGCTCGATTAATGAGCGTCTTGATAAGAGCAGATTTCTGTGCGGGGTGATGGTGTGACTGCATTCAGATAGGCATCAGTATGTGTTTTCTTTCGGTAAACGCTGTGTGTTATTTTACCATTTCGACCCTGTCCGAGCAGAATATCCAAAAATGTTAGAGTTCTGTCAGCTTCCACTTCCATGGTGAACTGGATGGATGGGTTTTGCGAGTTGAGATGATTTAGAAATTCGTTAAGTGTATTTTTCGCCGTGTGGCCAGACCACCAATGTGTCATCCACATATCTAAACCAAGCAGAGGGTTTTATTGTGCTTGGAGCTTTTGCCTTTGTTTCAAAATCTTACACGTACAAATTCGCTATTACAAGAGACAAAGGAGAGGCTATTGCTGCTCCTTTTCTTTTGTTTATAGAAGTCACCTTTCCACAAGAAGTAGGTGTTCTTTAGACAGTGTTCAGCTAGTCTTTGGATATCTTTGGCTAAACCTTTGTTCGTTACCAGAGTGTCGAGTAATTTAATTGACTCGTTGACTGGAACCCTCGTGAACGGAGAAGTCACATCAAAACTTACGAAAATATCATTAGGGTTAAGCTTGATATCTTTCATTATATTTAGGAGATGTTCAGAATTTTTGATGAACGAAGAGGTCCTGCCGATGTAGGGCTGTATTTGTTTCATTGTGTATTGTGCTAATTTGTATGTGGCAGAGCCTATTGTACTAACTATGGGTCTCAATGGGACATCAGGTTTGTGAGTTTTTGGTATCCCATAAAGTCTTGGTGGTTTACGATACCCTTGGTTTGATCAGGTATTGCTCTTTCTTTGGAATTGGTGACTTGGCAATGACTGCCGTTGTTCTACGTTCCAAAGTGCTGGTTGGGTCTCGTTTAATTTGAAGGTAGGTACCTTCATCGAGTCAATCTTTGATTTTATTATCGTAGTCCTCACGGGGCATCGCACAGTTGATCGGCCCCTATCAGCAGCAAGAATTTGGATATCTTTATTTGCTCTCAATTCTCTTAAGGTTGAAGTTAATATTTGTTTTTGACAATTTGCTGTTATCAATAATTTTGGCAACCTCATGCTTGGTCATCTTAGCTTAATTATGGTGGAGATGTCTAACTGCTGATTCCACTTCAGCAATT